AAGTGCATTTCATTTCATAAACATATGCATCATCTATGTCATCATCGCCATTATTCTTTGAAACATGCATGTGCAACAATTTCAAGCTATGTATGTTTCATGCTTGATTGTTGTGAATAGTAATGGTGTAACATGTGAATGTAACATGAAACTCTCATACTTGGAAACATGGCAACATGGTAGTAAGGTGACAAGTGTAGAATAACAACCTAGCCATGAAACATATGAAACATTACATTGCAACGTATGAGTGAATTGTTTGTTTTAGTCGCTTTATTCCATGTGATCCTTAGAAGTGGTATAACAAGTTTGTAGAGTGGTTGATTATGGTCTGATACACCTTAACTACACTTAGGTTACTTGTTTGGACACTGTTCATGTAGGTCAAAATGACAGAATTGCCCTTGAATGGAGGTTTGACTTGAAAGGAACCCTAGAGTGCCTTTGTTTGACTGTTTAAAAAGTCCAACTTAGAGACTTTGCATGGCTGTGCACTCTTTACAAAAGTTGTAGAAAATTTATCAAGGAACAAAAGTTGTTTTATGACCAACTCATGAAAATGGCTAGAACATGCTCAAACATGGCCCACCAGTCAGTCTTACATGTTGATTCATACTTAGCGAATTTTTCTAAGTCCTAAAATCAAGTACAGTTTCGTGTACCCATGTTTGGAGCCGTGTATCTCACTAACCAAGCCAAACTAGCTCGAGCTCCAATTAGCAAACTTGTAGTACTTATGTAGATCTCCAACTTTGTTAACTACGACTTAACTGGATCGCCACGGATTAGGAGTTAATGATCGTCGAATGGGTATTTGTCGGTCTTGGATTGAGCACTTGAATCGGAGCTCTGATGACCGACCGTTTTCGAATTCGCCGGACGCAGCGTGCGCCCAAGCGTCGTCGACCGGCTGATCGCATGCGCCACGCTGCCGTCTTGCTATCCCGCCGTCAGCACGCTGCCGCCTTTGAAGCTTCTCTACCGCCTCAACGACGCACTTGCCCTTTCCCATTTCGCATTCCTCGCCTTCCACCGTGCTTGCCGCAAGAGAGCATCGCCGTCGCCATTGCTCGCATTCGCCCCTTCGCCCTCGCCACCGCAAAGCGCGTTGCCTGTTTCGTCGCAATGCGCTTGCGCCCGTGACCTACTCCACCTCCTCCTCCACCTCACAACTGCGTCAATTAGACTTGGGTAAGGTCATTTGTGACCTTTCTCGACACCGGCTGCGCCATGGTGGCGCGCCGGTGACCTCACCGTGGCTTGACGCACGGCACCGTTCCTCCTCCATTTTAGCTCGCGTTTAGCTTTCTCCTTCACGAGTAGTGCTTGGGTGTAAATCCTTCCACCAATCTTTGGTCCCGGCCTTGCCGGGACACGGCCGAAGCGCCGCCGTGCGCGCCATGGCCGAAGTCGCCGAGCTCCGTGGTTGGAGCACCTAAGGACCGCTAGAGCTTCGGTTTTGTAGGTCGGTCGGGCGTGGGAACTTGGGGAGCACACCGGTGTTGTCCAATTCGCCGGAGGAGTCACCGTCGGCGAGTTTCCGTCGCCCCGCCCGTGAACCGTCTCCCCTGCCTTCGTCTCGCCGACGGATGGGGTCGGTGACCTTGGCCCCTGACGTCGGTCGCCAAGCTAGCGGGAGTCCAGCGTGGGCGCATGACGCGTCTTGGGCAGCGCCCAAAGACGTGTTCATGGGGCCGCCGTTCTTTCGGACCGGCCCAACAGCGGCTTTGATTTATTTCTTATTTGTTTTGCTGTATTATTTCACATATTTGTGTTGAATCATTACGATCTTGGTTTGTATGTCGAGAGTTGGTTGAAATCCTTCGTGATTTCCGGACTACCGGGATTATGGGAGCTTAAGTACAGGAATTTGATCGCTTCGGTGATTGTTTTTGTACTTACGTTCTTATGATTTGGTCGGTTCTGTTACAAAGATGATGACACGTGGGACTCGCGTGTCAGTGACAGGGGAGAGAGGCGGCGATGAAGTATACGTCTTCGTATACGCCTACAGCTGGGCCCAGGCCGTGTCCATACATATTTGTGGGAAACGAAAAATTGTAATGGTATGTTTCAAAATAAACGAATAGTAATGGCGTTTCTCCAAACCTCGAAAATTATAATGGCATGAATCCAAATAACCCTAAAAAATAAATTATAAAATCCGTTAGTAATCCATGAGACAAATTTATTAAGTCTAATTAATTTATTATTAACACATATTTACTGTAGCACTACATTATCAAATTATGGACTAATTAGGCTTAAAAAATTCGTCTCGCAAAACAGTCTCAATCTGTGCATTTAGTTTTATAAATAGTCTATATCTAATACTCCGTACATGTGTTAAACATTCAATGAGACAACGACTAAAACTTAGGAGATAGAGCCGAACACCCCCTAAATAAAGCTGATGGCCTGTTGCCGAGGTTACCGGGATACATGGAGTCACATTTCACTTTAAATGCAATTTCGAACGTCCTAATCCTTTGGATTTAGCACTCTCGAAAAATATTCGTAACCAGCATTACACGTGACATGGATCGTAAAGCGGTGTTTTGTCAAGGTTCGTATTATGGAAATAAAATATGGAAGGTGCCGGTTTTTTTTTTTACGGACGTGCTCACGTGCATGCGTTTCATTAAGGTCAATCTAAGATTCGTAGTGGGCGAGAGTTTCATTTATATTTAATTTAATATAGTCTGTTATACAAGCATTTTTTAAGATATAGCAATATTTTAATAAAAGATAAAGAAAAAAAATAAGTTTCATAAGGATGAAACTCTTAGTTATACCAATTTAAGATGAGCTCTTACCATAGGAGTAAACTTTAATGTCTACATGAAACAAAATAATAAAACTATGTATTGAGAGTGATGGTCGATGTCTAGTGTGTTAACATCATAGAACATGATCTTTTTGCTCTTCTTCCCACATTAACCAGCGCTCGTCAACAACATTCGCTCATTTGATTGTTTTAGCCTCTTGCCACCTCATATCCTTCCTGAATGGCATTCTTGTATGAACCTTCATCTCCCCCCTTATTCTTGAGTTGTTCCTTTGCACACTTCCTTCCCATGGGCCTTTGTCCTTGCGATAGTTCTGATGAATTAGTTTGTGGGCTTCCCATACATTCGCTCATTGGATGCGGTACCATTGCTAGCCTTCTGTTTCTTGGCATTGCTAATCTTCTTCTTTGGATTTTAATTGATTGGAACTTGAGTGAGTTCCTCACTTTGAGCTAGCAATGAAGCAAAGGAAATCTTTTCTTCTTTCCACCTGAACAAGTGAGTCGTGCTTCCAACAACTACATCCAATATCAAACAATGGGTAAACAAGTTTGCACACACAAAAATCATTTTAATTGACCGAATTAGGATAATCTTACACACGCTCTTAGTATGGGACTCTACTGGGGTGTAGACACTCCACAACCTAAAACGTTGCTCGAAATTTTTTACACTCTTTGAATTGTGCCAATGCCTATCGCTCTCAAAGGTCTTGTTGGCATGGAAGTGATATGTGATTCAAGTCCAATATGCCCGCCCGCGCCGGTGGTTTTGGGCTTCCGTTTAGCGCCAGACGCTCGCCCGACGGGAGATTTAGGCACGCATGTTTTTCTTTCGTAATAATGTTCAAAGTCAATAATTCTAGTATAAAATTGGACATAAATTTAACCGTGATTCAACTTCCAATCCAATTGAAATTTAACACTCCTAAATAGAAATTTTGAGAGAAGAAAAAATCTCAAATTGCATATTCATAGTGGAAGCCTAGTCCTAGAATGGACCTCTCAAGATTGAAGGGGAGCTGCCAGATGGCTGGATGGAAATAGCTTGGATCCGCATGGAATCAGATTCTGATATCACCATTTACTATATTTAAATTTGACTTCGGATATGGATACTGATATTTTTAATGTGAATACAAAATGGATATCTCGGATTCAGACTTCTATTGGAATGTTTACTCAATTCAACTTAAAGTGCATACTGTTAAATTCGGAATACATGAAGTAGAATTTTACTAATAAGTTCAACGATAAACAAAGTGAAATAAAATCAAAGTACACAATACACTTCTAATAATCTTCAATATCGAAGTGAACTAAATTATAATAGAAATAATGGATAATATTTAATAAAACGATAGGTCAAGTGAAGAAATTCAAATGAAAATGGTAGGCAACAAGTAACCATTTTGCTTTATCAATGTGTTTTAATTAAAAAAAATATTAGCTTACTATTATAGTATGTGGCTATATAACATAAACAGGAATAACTCATAAAAATAATATAGTTTTCAAACAAATATTTAATAACTAAATATATCAATTAATCAATCATTATTTATATAATATTTATCATGAAATTATAAATTATGTAAAATAACTTCCAGCAGTAAACATATGAATTCAAGGATTAAAACAATTTACAACAACAAATGTACTAGGTTTAAACTAAATTAGAAAAATACTAAAAATAATTTAATATGTATGTATAGTTAATAATACTAGATTAATATTAAAAGTTATTTATAGATATACTATTAAAAAGTTTTAATGCATCATTAGTAATATTTAAATTAAATAATTAGTCACTGTTATGGATAGAAACCTTTTAAACATATTTATTATACCTTGTTCTTCGTGGATACGGATAAATATTGGATATTTTAGATAAAGAAAAATACTAAAAAAAGGATTCAGATACATCCACCAAAACAAGAGGCGGGTGTCGCGACTCGCAAGACACCTATGTCAAGTCTAAGAGCCCATTTGGATTCTCCAAGGATTATAGGAATGCAGATAATAATAGATACTGATTCTTATTGAAAGCCGTATACCATCACCATAGACTCGGTTTACTGTACATTAACAGTGACCTCACCCAGCCCGTCCGATCATCGCCCCACTCCGCGCCGTGCCATCCGCTACCGTCCGCGTGTCCACAATTCTGGAAACAACGGCGCCGCAACCCGTTGCCCTTCGGCCTTCTCTCCTACGAAAGGCACAACGGAAAAAAAAAGGAAGGAAATTTCCCCTCCGCCATGCCCAGTTGCCCACGGGCATCCTCGCCATCCTCGCCTCTACACAGCGTCGCAGCCTCAACGCGCGTGCCTGGCCTCGGCCTCCGCGTCTGCGCTGCCCTGCCGCCAGCCTCCGGTAGCGCCGCGCCACGGCCTAGCACCTCCTCCGCTCTTCCCGCAGCCGCCGCGTCGCGCGCGCCCGTGCTACGCGCCGCTGCCGCCGCCGCCGCGTCGCCTCCGCGGCCGTCTGCCTTCCACAGCCCATAGGGCACAGCACCTCCTCCCCCATCCAGCACTGCCGTCGCCGGGGAGGCCACATCTACCCCAACGGAGTCGTCCGGAAGCCTCAGCTGGACGCCGGTGACCTTGCCTGCTGCGTTGTCCCCTTCATCTCTGCGCAAGGTAACAGCCCCCCTCCTTTGCTGTAACTCATCTCCAGATGCGTACGCTAAGCGATAAGTCCTCAGGTAGCATAGGTTGCCTCCAAGTTACCATTACCAGTATTATGCCAACCAAGTCTATCTGAAATTTTGATTGTGTGACTGGTATTATCAACCAGAATGGTTGGTTAATGGTTAGTGCTGGAAACGAACAAACATTAATTTATTTCATGGAAGCAGGTAATTATTATTTGTGATCCCTATGTTTCCTACTTCCCCTTATGACTATTATTCAGTATGCAAATCTGAAATGCTAAATCCTAATTCATGTGGGCATAAAGCAACAAACTGGTATTAATATCACAGCTTGCTTCATTATGACTTATGAGTTATCCTCGTTACCTTCATTATTCACGGCTAACAATATACTAGCGATACACCCCCGGACACTCTAATTCGATGCCCCCACATACCTGATCACACTAGCCAAAATATAGAATGCATGGCACAAATATGAAAACAGTCTTACACCGGTTTAATTTCCATATTCATTGTACATAGCACTAACTATCAGTTAAGAAAAAAAAGAGGCCTCCAGATCTCCCCTCAGAGACTAAATCCACCACCAAAATAGCTTTGTCCAGGTACCAGTAAGGCTTTGCCTCAAAGACAACTCCTGCATCCCATGTCACCATACGTCACCTGCACATTCGTTTATGCTATTGTTGTTTAAATGTTACAAAATCTGCTTTATAAATGTTACAGTATCTGCCAATCAATAGTCGCTTAACAAATATTTACAATGTTGGTAGTTCTATTACAATAAATTTATTAGGCATAACAACATGTTCTGTATATGAAACACTTAAGTTGGGATGCCATTTTTCAAAGGAAAGATGGACTTAAGTGTTTGTCAAATAAAAGTATAGAGCAATGGGATGCTACACCAAATACTAATACTGCAATTGTGTTTGGCCCTTGACAAAGGTAAAATAATCTGTCCTTACTATCTGTTAGTTGACACCTTTGGAAATAATCTGAACTTTGCAATTTGGGGGTTACTGTATGTAACAAAACCAATGAAGCCCAATCACACACTGTCCCTGAATTGCTAATGCCTCATCATGTAACCCTTTATCCCTTTTAGTACGATATATGTGATTGACGACTTCATTTCACCATGTGTAACCAACCTATGATCTTAAGGGAGACACTCTTTTTTGCACGGTAATTGCACATGCCAGCGACATTGTTCCCAATAGAAGCTGCGAAAAGCTCCAGTTTTGCACAAGCCGCTTTGGTGGAAACATATGGTGGTTCAACCTTTTCTTCTTGCCTGTCAAACTACCAATGTCTGCTTCCCAACAGTTTCACAGGGAATGGCTGCTTCCCTATGGTTTTACAATTGAAGACAAACAATTCTTTGATCATAGGATTGCTGCTGCGCTATGCATCCTTACAGCTATCGTATTATACGTATACAGATATCTACACGCACGATCAATAACTCATCTATAATGGTGATATGTTTAAGATCGGCTATATATATGTGTATGCACAATCAATTACTCACCTATACATATATGCCACCTGGCTCTGTCTAGCCCGCGGCAATTGCCACGGGGTTCTGCCTAGTCTGTTTGGATTCCTAGATCATACTCTAGATTGTGCATACATTATATAAGCTAAATGTCTAAAATACCCTTTAGATGGTTTGTGGATAAGGTTGAAACAAGGACAAAATTGTCTTTTCCCACCCTAGAATCCCCCATGAGTTTATGAAGAAGGGATATTGGATTCTGGCCTTGGATTTCTCAAACACGTACCAGAATCCCCTAGAAGTCCTTGTGATTTTTAATTTTTTATTAGACTTAGTTTTGTAAAAAAAAATTAAGGTGTCACTTGCCATTTTATTTCCTCCTCATTTTTGTCACCCTTCTAGAAAAAATTACAATTGGAGCGTGTTTAGAACACGGGAAAGCTCCGGTGGGAAGGAAGCTGTACCTATGTGCGAGCCTAGCTTCTTCGTAAAACTAGATGATGCCCCGTGCGTTGCTGCAGGAATTTCCCTGTTCGCTTGGCTTATAAGCCGTATTTTTTCAGCCAACGAACAATATTTTTCTCTCACAACAAATCAGCAAACAGTACTTTCAGCCATGGCTTATCAGCCAAGCGAACAGGGCATTAGGATCGACACGAAAAGAATTAATGGAGTGAGAAATAGTGAAATCGAAAGAGGGTAATATTATTTTTATTAGAATCATTGATGGGATGAAATGTATTTTATGATATATGAAAATGAATTATCCATGCATTGCTATGGTAATTAGGATCAATTTTTGAGAAGCACTGAATGGAGAATAAACCAAAGAGAAGCGTAAGCTTATATATTTGGTGAACATGTGTTCATATGACCAAAGACAAATAAACTTTACACATTACATTACAATCTTCACATTGTAGTTGCAGGATTAGATTTTTTTTAGGGATTTTAGGATAAAAAATGGAGAAGTACAGGAGGCTGCCGACACCAGGCGGGATGTTGTAGTCATGTCGCTCCTATCTATGGTTTGTCCCCTCTGCCGCTCTGCCGAGTTGGTCAGTTGGACCGTGGATGCTCAGTGGCACGGACGTGGCTCCACCAGCAACACCAGCGTAGCACCGTATGTCCTTTTCGTTTGGCGGTGTACTTTTTCAGTACAACAAATCAGCCAACTTTTTTTTATATATATGTAACTACAGCAGTTGTTTTGCTTTTCTTTTGACAACGGCAGACCTGCAGGCAATCGATAGGAGGACTTAGTATTTTGATGGAACAGTAAAAATCAAAATATGGATCTTGGGTTCGATTTGGTATCCTATATACTGGAATATATATGTATAATTGATCCGAACAATGAATGGAAAATGAACATGATGTATCATACCCGTGCATACTTGATGCCTCCGCTGGGCCTGGGCAGCTGGGCGTAAGGAAACACGGGCCCGGCGCCACGGCCGGCGTGGTGAACTGATGCAGCGAGCTTGGAGCAGCGCTGTTTCCTACAGCGTGGTGATCCACATCTGCTCGGGCGCTCGGCCACCCGCTGGAGCAGGTTCGTGGCAGCGAGCAGCCAGCCCATGGGGAGGGGCAGCCGCAACATTGTACTCATGCACGAAACACGCCGCAAGGCCGTGGCCTGTGACCCCGTTGAACCGGCCGACGCAGCACGGAGGAGGGAAGGTGGTGTCGTTGCTGCAGACGAAGATGCATCATTGACAATGCCATGTTTCCATCTGCTCAACAAAGCAGCGGTATAAATAGTATCAGTGACCCCTCGGTTCCTTAGCAATTCATGATCTGCATCCATTGTGTGAGTTAAAATTTCTTTGGTGGGAGTTTTTCGTTCTCTTCATTTCATGATGGCCTTTAGTAGTAGCAATTTAGTGACCAAACTTAATGGCTTGGTGGGGCCTATGGGATGACGTGTCTTCGCGAAATTGCAGAAAAATAGGCTAGTGGGGTCTCCTGTATATTAATAAATCCGTTTTAAATTATAGTTTGTTTGACTTTTTCAACCTCAAGTTTGACCACTCTTCTTATTTTAAAATTTATGCTAAATATCACTTCTTTGGTTGTGGTTTGCTTTATTAACAAAAAGTTCTTTAAGAATGACTTAAATTTGGCTATATTTGTATAAATCTTTTGAATAAGGAGTGGTTAAATTTGGGGTAAAAAAAAAGCCAAACGAATTATAATTTTTTAACGGAGGGACTGGATACAGTAGATATAGTAGATTACTCGTGGTCGTGAGGAAGTTGCGCGATCTTCAGTTCGCATCTCACCACGCTTCCATGCTGCATCCTCAACCGACGCAGCTGTCAGACCAGCCTATTTTCTGGCCGCTGCCAGACCGGCCCATTTCCTCGCAACTGCTATACCACCGATGCCCCAGCGGCCCAGCCCCTTCAACTGCTGCCGCAGCCCCTTGCTCTGTCTCCACCCCGTCCAATCCAATGGTGCCGCCTCCGCTTTAAGGCCAGAAAGGCAGAAATCCCACTTGTGATTTTCTGGAGTGAACCATGGCCGCGAGCTATGGAGAGCGTGGGATTTTTTTTTTTTTTTTACTCCTGAGTCCTGAGATTGCTCTTAGCAGTTACTAGCACATTTGTAAAATAAAAATAAAATGCAGGGCCATGGTATGGTGGAAAAAGTAAGCCCTCGTTTAGTTCGTGAAATTTGGATTTTGGGGCTACTGTAGCACCTTCGTTTTTATTTGGCAAATAGTGTTCAAACATGGACTAATTAGGCTCAAAATGTTCGTCTCGTAATTTTCCACCAAACTGTGCAATTAGTTTTTCTTTTCGTCTACATTTAATGCTCCATGCACGAGCCGCAAACATTCGATGTGACAAGTACTGTAGCAACTTTTTAAAAATTAAGATGAAACTAAATAAGGGCTAAATGGAACTGCCATGTTGCATGCACGCTGCAGGCATGGCACAGCAAGTAGGGACACCGATACAGCTACCAGCACGTTTCGTTGATGCGTGACCCAACGCGCAAGCGTGCGCAATCCAAGGCGCACAGGAGTTTTGGACTGCGATCCCTGTAGCTGTAGCGGCAGCCTGCGCGCGCAGCATGCTTATCTTTATCTCCTACAGGCTACAGCTGGCCTGCAGTCCACACGCTCTGCTACTGTCTAATCCCATCGCATGCAGTTCTATGTTCTCGCCGTCCGGAGAACTCAAATAATTTCAAATTTAATAAAATCTATAAAGAAAACACTAATTTCATGATATTAAACATTTAAATTAGCTGTAACTACATTGTAATGATCTATTTGGAGACATAAATATTAAATTAAATCAAGCTTAAGAAAACTTAACTTGCTAAAAAATTAGAATTTTATTTTCTTTATGATCGATGGAGGGAGTATGCAATACCACTACAATAAAAAAAAATAGACTGCTATGTCCTTTGTCTAGAAAAACGTAATTCTAAAGCAGTATCAAGCCAATTTATTTTGAGTCTAGTTAAGTTATATAAAAATTATCAATATTTATAATATTAAATAAGTATATCTAGTTGTATTATAAAATACATTTTATAATATACTCCCTCCGTTCTAAATTATGAGTTATTCCGATTTTCTTGGAGAGTCAAATCATCTCAAATTTGACCAATATTATAGTGAAATTATAAAGATTTACAAATAGTTATACTATGAATATATGATTAACGAAGAATCTAATGATATTTATTTGGTATTATAAGTGTTATTATTTGTTATATAAATTTGGTCAAACTTGAGATGCTTTGAAAAAAGTTGAAAATGACATAATTTGGGACGGATGGAGTGCATATTTAACGTCATAAACATCGACACTTTTGTCTATAAATAAACTTAGTTAAATATTAGATAATTTGGCTGAAGATAAAACTAGAGTTAATTGCATCAATTTCAGGATGGAGATTGTAATAAATTTCTATAATGGAGTATAATATAGCTATCAGGTTACAAATATGAGTAGCATGGTCCACATTGCTACGGCGCATTGGTTAATCAGCTCATCATCATGGTCATGGGAGGCCGGAAGTGATTCCCGCGTGATAGCAACAGCAGGTTAAACAAAAGGGTCTCTAGCTCTGTGCATGCCGCATGCGACTCCGGTCTATGCTTTAGTCGTAAAGGAGATGAGGAGAGAGACAGAG